GAACTCGTTTGACAACGGATTCGCGTTCGGGAGAGGAGTGTGTTTGTGGGCTACCCGCTCTATGGGATTTAACATGGGATTCTTGAGTCTATGGGAAATTAACATGGGATCACAGCATAAATCTATGGCTATACTTTAACATGGGTAATGCTAAGTCTATGGCAATAATAAGTCTATGGGTAATGCTAAGTCAATGACATAGGAATAACATGGGTAATGGTATATCAATGGGACAATGGAATTATAAATGAATCTGCTATAATAAATCGAACGAATTGTTGTCAAAAACATTTAAAATTCTCAAAATAATAATAGTGAGAGTATTCTAACAATAGTATTGAAAAATTTAAAATCTTTGATGCATTTCCCGAATTGTGATGAGTGATTATAATCTTCAATATAATTATCAGATAATTATTTTGAGTTAATTTTCTAAACTATTAATAAATTCAAACATTAATTGAGATATAAATTGTGTTTAATTTTGTACCAAAAATTGTCGTCTAATTCATAGACTAATCGCAAAATAACATTGATTTCAATGTAAACTTTATTCACACTAACCATAAATAATGTCATATATTATGCAATCATTTCACATGTATTTCAATGCATTGAAAAGTGGTTTAAGTTTACGTTAATTCTGTTTAAAGTTTTCAACAAAAATCATATGATTTTGTTATTCAAAAGAGATTTAAATCAAAATTTTGAAAATCAAATATAATTTTTGTGTTGAGTTTTGGTTTGAAATTAAGCCATGATTTCGATGTTTAGATCAAATCAATGGCTTTTAAATGCAAACAAATGCTTAAAAGTGAATACAAAAGGCATTGCATTGAAAGACATCGGAAGGAGTTTCACGAAGAAAGTGATGACAAGAAATGATAATTTGGTCGACAATCCAAACATGAAATCATTGGTCAAACCATTTCTCTTCACAGTTGGGGTAAACTTGGGATCAATTAATTGAATGATTATGAATGACATGAAGTGTATCATTAGTTTAGCGGAACTGTATATACGGTGTCTATTGTCTACAATTATGAGAACTCACTCTCAAGACTGCCATTCAGTAAATGGAAACGAGATTTGCATTCATTTCAAGACAATTACGGCAACAGAAAGGCTGGAACTTTGAGGAATGAAGTAATTAAGACAATACACAATGTTATCATTCGTGACTCTTATGTAAGCAATTGTTTTTAAAATCAGTTGAATCAGTGGTGGAACTCAAGAACCACTGGATTTAAAGTATTTTCATCGATCGCTGCCATCAATATATTGGTATTCATTGGTTGGAAAATACCAAGACTTCAGCACTTTATGTCCAAACATTTCATGACTTATACCACAAGCAGTATGTCCTGAGAGTGGCATTCAATTTGCATTGAATTTATACCAATTAATTGTATTATAGATGGATTAAAATGTTGGCCAATGCTTTGGTCCACTTTCAGTCACTACTCTCCCACTCATTTGATATTCAATTTAATAGTTTTGCATTCATTCACTCAACTCGGCGTCAATGCCTTCGGAACCGAACAGTTCATCGCTTTGTATCTAAGCTCAGGTATGTTTGCCATCACTATATCTTCTAACTATTATTCTGCTTTTAAAGTGATAGTAATTTTGAATGTAATGCCAATTCAGGTGTAATCTCTTCTTTCGGGAGTTATTTGGCAAAAGTATTGACTAAAAAAAGTGCCGCCTCTTTGGGAGCTGTAAGTGATTATCGAAATTATATGAGAAAATTGTTTTTAAAATTTGATTGGATGTTAAGTCCGGAGCCATTCTAGGGATCCTCTCGTCGTGTTGTATAGCAAGACCTGAATTGGAATTAGTGATCATATTTCTGCCATTTTTTACCATTTCTGCGGGAATGGCATTGAAAGGCATTATACTTATGGATAGCGCTGGCCTAGTATTAGGCTGGAAATTGTTTGACCATGGTGCACATCTGGCCGGCACTTTGTTTGGCATTTGGTACGCAACCAATGGACTCAATGTTATTTCACAGCACAAACCAAAAGTAATTGAAGTTTGGCAACAAATTAGGAATAAAATCATTTAAATATTTTTATATACACTTATAAAAGCATATCTGTATAGAGTTATAGTAATCCCTTTTTATCGTTTGCCAAATACAATAAATTGTAAATTGAACTCAATTTTATACCATATTTTAATTCACTATATTTATTACCTTGTTTTGTAATAATGACACAATAAAATTTCTATAAAAAATTGAGTTACCTTAAATTAGCTTAAATTTGCTAAATAATGATGTGCATTCTATATACAGTAAAAGATCATTTGGGTGAAAGGATCGGGTTTTAGCATTTAGTTCACACAAATGATCCATTCATACAAATGATCCTGCTAAAACTGTGATTAATAACAGCTATTTTTCCTATAATATTCAAAATTACACATTTTAATTGTTATATGAGAAATAGTCTGTAATTTACTGTTGTTTTAATGATTTAAATGAAGGTTTAAACAATTGTGTTAGCATTTTATTCAATTGTTCATTAAATGAGTTGTCATTCAAATGGCAAAAATATTTAGTTCACTCAACTGATCCTAAAATGCATTGAATTTTGTATAATAATAGCACTAAATTGTTCACACAAATGATCCGTTCACACAGGTGACGTTCACACAAATGGTACTTATTTAACATTATGTCTATGCAGTGCGGGTTTTGGTTTCAGGGTTTGGTTCATACAAATGGTTAGTTCATACAACTGCTACTTCACCCAAATGATCCAATACTGTAATATACTTTACAGTGTAATATATTCTGATGTAATGGACTAATGTAACTTATTTGATGGACCAGTAAATTGATGTGGTTGTGATTCTATGAAGTCGATTGCATGAATGACCGGCTATTCATATAAATATTCTCTGGAATATCAATTGTTTTCTGCTGTTATAAAATATGTTTTGCAATGAGTTTTATTTTAAATTCAAACAACTTTTGAATTGAACAATTTGGTAATAATCACATCAATTATTAATAATAGTGATATAATGATTAGTAATTGATTACAATGTGTCACAATGTTCAGTTTTATTTAGAGTTTAATTAAATATATTTAGCATAACTGGAATCCCAGTCCCTTTGGAATATAGATTGCAAATCATCTCTTAAATTGTGTTCAGCGGATGTGTTATTCTTGGAAGTGATGGCAAACCCCACTCCACCAGTGTTTACGAAATAGTCGGCCGACCAGTTGGACGTTCCGATGTATGCGGTCTTATCGGTGACCATATATTTGTTGTGATTAACTCTAGCGAAGGGTATTGAGGCCTGAAATGGTGTGAAAGCGGGCACAACAAACAGCTTGACCTCAATCGTCGCTCCGAAAAGTTTCTTATCATTAAAAGCGGCCAAAGAATGCAAGAATATAGGCATTGATTCTCTCGTGTGATTCCAATGACTCGCTAATAATCTTACGCTGACTTTTCGATCAATAACCGCACTCTTGAGGGCGTTGTCTATAAGTGGCCAGAAATGGGTGTTTTTCTGGTACAGAAATATTGGGAAGTAATCCATGACTGCTATATCGATAAATTTATCGGCATTTTCTATAATGGATAGAATGGCGTCGATATCATTGGTTCGACCGAAAGGGCAAAACGGTTTCGGAGAAGAAGACAGATATACACTATAATCTGTTTGATTCATAGAAATCGATAGCGGATTCGTTGCATTAAAATCTGTGGCCAATTCTTGTGGCCATTGTTTAGGAATCGTAGAGTTTTCTACTCCTAAATACCAGTAAACTTCAAATATTTTGGACAAATCGTTGGCCAACGTCTGGCAGTCGTTCAAAACAATTCCCAATTCCTTGACCTGAGTCAATGACCTCCAGTCCATATTCGCGGACCCGATATACAGGTGCTTATTATCGATGATAAAAAACTTTGTGTGCAAAACTCCGGCGCCCAGCAGTCTATTGAAGTTGACTTCACGTATTTGTGCCAACCCTTTAAGAAGTGCCAAATCAGTGCTGTTGTCGCTTAAGTTTCCCTCATTCACAGCGATTCGTATTTTGACGGATCGAGACTTTGATGAGTCGATTAACGCGTTCAACAGTTTGGTTCCCTCGAGACTTGAATTGTCCGGATGTGGCATAACATCACTTCCCTGTAATGTCCAGTACAAGGACGCGATCTCTATCGACGAGTTGGCACTCGAGACCAGACCTATGAGTCCATCGAAAGTCGGTTTCGATATAATAGTTGAATTGTATGTCAAACCGATTGGAATCGACTCCACTAATTGTGCCCCACATTCAGACCCCGCATGAGATAGGCTTTCAATTTGCAATAAATTACTCAAACTTATAATTAGAGACAAATTAATTGCCAAAACTTTCATTGTATTAAATTATTAATAACTTTCCAACTCTTAAATAAATTTAATAAATGACTGGAATTTATATTCAATTCAAGTAAACATTGTTTCAAATATAAACATTTTATCAAAACTAATGAAAGATAAGCTAATTGTTTGTATAATCAAAACACTTGACTTCAATTAGTGATAAACTTAAAGCAAAAGTCAAATGAATAACATTTTATACATTAAACCAAATCATAATGAATAATAAAATGCACTTAAAATAATTAAAACCATCATTGGATGAATTAGTGGTCCTAATTGGTCATAGTTCAATGTTGTTTGCTGCATGTGGTTATTTTTCTACTGTTCATTTTATTGACACTTCCTATTAAATATTAAATACATGTCTTTTATTTCGTAAAACTCGACGAATGGGAATTCTCATATTTAAATTGAAATTATTCAAATCGAATCAAACTTTATTGAGTCAACAAAATGCTGTTTTACATACAAATCAGTTATAAACATATAATTTAAAATTAATTCTAAAATTTGTATAAAAGATAGTTATAATTAGTTAATCGACAAATCATTGTTTGTGTCTTGCTTTATATATTGGAAATTAATTTTTTTTAGGAAAGAATGAAAACCAACTTTTATATTAAAAATGTCAAAAATGGTACAAAAAATTTAATAATTTTGTAATTTGAAAAATTAATTATCATTATATTTAGAATTAAAATTGATATAAATCAGTATAAGAACCAGCAATAACGTTTTTCGTCATAAACAACTGTTATTTTTGATATAACTTTTTAAATTCCTTCAGAATTCTATTCCTTTCATCCGTACCTCTCTATTGTTGGATTAAATGAAAACCTAGTTGTTTCACTATAAAGCTGTGTAGATAGAATTGTGAAATTAGTTTAATAATTTAAGTTGACATCTCTAGGCACCAGAATCCAAGTTTCATCAAGATCGGATGAATAGTTTATGAACAGGATTTTTTCAAAGTTTGTCAGTCGTTTTAATGTATTCCTATGGAAAGGGGGTCCGTTTTTGTATTTACCGATGGTTGAAATCATAGTTAAATTGATCATGCTCAAATACTAACATTTATTATTACGGAGTTGTGAGTCTCGGAGTTGTGAGACATCACGTGACTGTAGTATTCGCTGTACAATTGATATGCGAAGTGATTTAGCGCTAATGTACAGCGAATACTATAGTCACGTGATGTCTCACAACTCCGAGACTCACAACTCCGTAATAATGAATGTAATAGAGATAATTCAAAACCCTTTCCTCTTCTGAGACCTTTATTATTCAACGTATAAAACCAAATGCTATTCATTGGCCGCCATTGACCGCTACCCCAACTGTGGCCACACAAAAATCGGTGATTAACCCGATTGGGGTCTGTGTTCGTTGGGTTCGCAATTGATTCCCGTTATAATTGATGTCATGGTATCTACACTAAACTATTCTCAGATAACTAATAATAAATACCAATAACCAAATAATCACTTCAAACACATCTTTAATAAAAATATTTCCACTTTAAAAATGAGATAATTTTTAGTCAAATATTTTATTGTAAATTTTTCAAAATAATTCCGACTAACAAACTTTGAAAAATTCCTGTTCTTAAACTATTCACCCGATCTTGATGAAACATAAATTCTAGTGCCTATGGATGTCAACTTAAATTATGAAACTAATTTCAGAACTCTATCTACAAGGCTTCATAGTGAAGCAACTAGGTTTTCATTTAATCCAATAATACAGAATTTGTTTATCAGTTTTAAAAGCGCAAAAAGGCCTCAAGTTTAACATTAGGTTCAATTATTATCATTGAAATGAATATAAACCCAAGTTTTTAACCACAATTCAGTATGAATAATGTGGTTTATAGGATCGTTCGGCCCCCCTTCCCCC